ATATCAAAACTATATTCCTAATAAGATTCCAAATATATTAAATTTATATTATAATTCATTATGCTTTTTCTCACAATTTGTAGTTAAAATGTATCACTGTTTCACCGGAAATAATCAAAATGGGAAGTGTTTTCTGGGACGGAGGGAGTATTATTTAATTATATCTAACATTATTACTAAAATGTAAAAAAATGGTATATAACATTATAATAAAAATTACTTAATTATTATTATTACTTAATTATATATAAAATTATAATGATAATTATTAGTAAATTATATGCACCATTAAATAATGTAACACCAATTAATTGTAAACTAATTATTATGTAATAATAGAAAAAGGTTAGCATCGTTTTCAACACTTTCTTGATTTTATTGAATTAACTCTTAAAATATTTTTAAATGATTTGTTGTGATCTAATCTAGTTAGATTTCATCTACTCTGATTTGACTGGATTTGATTTGATTTGGTCTCAAATGATTTTAATAAGAGTAAGTAATAATTTGAATGGAAGAACCGTTAAATGCTAAAAGTAATAAAACAAGTACTCCGTAATCAGGACCTTTAAACACCAATTTAATTTTTTGCTTAAAATAACCAAACTAGGAAAATAACTTAAAATTAACTATAAATGTATTAAGGAAAGTTCTAAGTTATCTAGTTATACCAATAATCAATTTAAGAGCATGGGCAGCGACGTGTAATACTCAGGCCTGCAACCTTATCATATAAACTCATTTAGAGCGGCGAGGTAAGGGAGAGGCGCCCTGCCTGTCGAGCCATGCGCGAGGCACCTCTCTTTTTTGTGCTAATTTTTTGTTTTGGTACAAGAAATATTTTTTTAAAAAAATGTACATATTAATAATTATAATACATCAAAAACGTGTAAAATTGATAAAAACAATTACTTGCCATTTCATGGCATTTCACTCCTCTCATTTGCACACGCTGACTGATTGTGTTTAATTGGTTGAAATGTGCTATGTCAACATGTGACATTCCATTTCATTACTTGTCATTGCTGATGCTCTAAGTAGTTTGACAATTTTGAACAGTAGTTGTTTCACTGCGTATATCTACCACAATCTGGCATAAGAGATGTATCTGCAAAAAAAATTACATTTAATAAATTTGGTATTTAAAAGAATGAAACCCATTATGAGAGCTCCCTCATTACTGGTCACATGAGAGGCAATAAATTGAGGTTTAATGACAAACTAGCTAGTACAGGATAGAGCATGAACCTGGTACTTGCAGAGACTATATGCTTAGCATAGTTATCTCCTAACGTAGCTGTGAGGAATCACACTCAAGTTTACCCGTTTTGACATCCCTTGCTCAACCAATTGAGCTACGCCCTCAAGCATTAAGTTGGTATTAAAGATAAGTAGTGTAATTTTGGATTTACTTTCTTACTTTATTTTTACCTTATCATATGAAAGAATATGTATGAGACTAAGGCCGTGCGGTGCGCCACATGAAAGGAGAACGGGAAACCGACGTGGCAGCGGGAAGGGAAGGGGAACACCGCATGAGTGATCGGGGAGAGCGGGTTCCCTTCCCTGTTTTTCCCATTGGCCTTCAAAGGTCACATTTCAATTTTTATCTTCTTTTGTTAAAATTAGCCGTTTGAAATTTAAAAAAATTAAAAAAATCTGACTATATAAATAGAACAATCTACTCATCTTTTTCACACACTTCCCATCCATTTCTTTTAATTCTCCATACTTCATCTTCATTTTAAATACCTCTCGCCACAATGTCGTCTCCTTCATCTGATATGATGTCGGCTTGTTGTTCGATTCTTTTTCTTTTTCTTCATCTTCTTCTTAAATTCTTTGGATGAAGTCAAAACTTTTTTCAAAAACGTGATCATGGAGGCAGAATTTTTTTAATCCAAACATGCAAAAATTTGAAATACTTCGGTGCCAAAAAAACGAACGACAATATAATGTTGCAACGTGATCAGAAAGGTATAAAAGTATAAATCTTACGTACCCTTCGCTTTTTAATCCTAATTAAAATTTTTATTTTTCACACTTTTTTTGCTATAAATTATGGTATCCACACCGTAGGTGGTCATGACCGGCTTGTGGCTGATTACTTTGCAAAAAATCCAGTGTACACCGACGACTAGTTTAGACAATGCTTTTGTATGAGTCGCCATCCTATCCTCCATATTGTCGATGATTTGGCTCATGCAGATCCGTTTTTTACTATACAGGCAGACAGAAGATAGGGTTTAGTACCTTACAAAAGTGCACTGCGGCGATTCGACTAACGACATAAGGGCACATCCGCACATGCACTTGATGTTACCTTAGGATATCAAGAGAACGGGCTACATGTGAATGCTTGTACAAGTTTACGAAATAGGTTATCAAGTTGTATAGCAATTTACAGAGACCAACTCAAAAACACGTTCAACAATTGTTTACTACCCACAAAGTGAGATATGGGATTCTTGGCATGCTTGACAGTATTGATTGTATGCATTGGTCATGGTATAATTGTCCTAACGCATGGCATGGTCAATTCATATGATGGGATCACAGACATCAACAATCATCCTAGAAGCTGTTGCCTCAAAAGATCTTTGGACTTGACATATATGCTTTCTTTGGTGTTTCAGGTTCACACAACAACCTAAACATTATTAACCAATCTAACATTTTCAATGAAATTATTCAGGGTACCAGACTTGATACTTCATTCACAATTTCGAGGGGTGGATTACAAACATGGACATGATCTTGCTGACGGTATATATCATGAGGTATTCTACTATCGTATAAACAACACCGTATCCTCCGGATCAGAAAAGAAAAAAATTTGCCAAATACCAAGAATGGGCAAGAAAAGATATTGAACGACTATTTGGAGTTCTAAGGCAAAGATAACATATTATCCAAAATCCTACTCGTGTGTGGTCACCAAAAAAATAAGATATGTTATGTATGCTTGTCTTAGATTACATAATATGATCCTCCAAGATGAAGGGCACGCGATATGCGAATACGATCTGAATGACGTTCTTGAGAATGTCGAACCAGTGGATGATGCCCAACAAGACATGAACTTGCTTGCATTACGCAACCAGAATAGCACCTCCACCTACAAACCGATTTGATAGAGCATTTATGGATTTTCGCTCCACCTACTGTATCTGATGATTAGGTTTCAATTTTTTATTTTTTTAATATGAATAATGTTTAATTTTTTTTTGAAATATGAATTATGTACCAATATTTTTATTAATGTGTCTTAATTATTTAATGTACCAATTTTATTATTACGTTTAATTTAATTTAAATGTATACGTTTAAATGTTTGAAGTACATTTTATTTTTTTAGTTAAATTATTTAAATTTAAATAGTGTTAAAAACGATATTAAAAATTGATCCAAAGGGGAAAGAGAAAGACATTTGTCTAGAAAGGAAAGGAAAAGGAAAGGGTGAAAGCTGAAGCTGACGTGATTGGCGAAAGGGAAAAGAGGAAAGTGATGAAACATCTGATGGCCTAATAATGAATAAGTATGAAATGAGAAAAGGGAAGGAACTAAATTATACTTCCTCCGTCCAATAAAAATTTTCTCATTTTATCTTTTGAGAAATTTAAAAGAGGAATATTTTTCTGTTGATTTTTAAAAATATTCTTGATGTGATGGGTAGATTATTAATAAAAAGATATGATGTGATAGAGGTTAAGAATTAGTAGGAAGAAAAGAGGTTTTTTAATTGAAAAAAAAATGATTTGTGGGATAAGGAAAAAAAGAGGAGAATATAATGCATTTTTAGAACGGAAGTAGTATACGAGAAATGATCCATAATGCCTTCGTTTATGTAAAGCAAAAAGAAGGATTATTTTTAAAAAACAAAAAGAAGGATTGACTAATGAATTACTCCGTAATACGGGGTAAGTGTAATCCAGTTGAGGCAAAACGGTAGACTAATCTTTTATTCATTTGCCATATTAAAAAAATGAGAAATTTTATGGTGTACCTAATATAAGGTCATCATAGAGTTAAATATGAGTAAAATAAACATTTATATTACTTAAATGAGAAATTTTATGGTGTACCTAAGGTCCATCATAGGCTTACATATGAAAAAAAATTAAATAAAAAAACAAAAAAAGATTTTTTATATGAGAATATCTACAAAAATGGTATGTACTCAAGGTGCACCATAGCAGCACTCAAAAAAAAAAGTGAACATATACATTGGAATGACTAAAGGAAAAATTGACGAAAACGTCTGGAGGGGACGAGTAATTAATATGGTAAATAGTTGATGGGAGATATCTCTGAATAAGAGCAAAAAAGTTGAGAAAGTTCTCTTTTGGTATGAGTCGAACGAAGGCATTATTTACGAATCATGAGAAAGTTCATCGGGGTTCGATTCTCAGCAAATGCAGAGACACTAGATAACTCTAATTATTAGAACGCGATAGTATGAACAAATACTACATTCGAAAGTCATACTACCATCTGTAACTGCTGTCACATTTTTATCTGTCGCCCACCTCATTGTCACCACATCCTCATCGACAACCGCCACTACATTGTCATACAAGGCCACACTCTCATATACCGCCCGCCGCACTACCATCAACTACGGTTGTCACAGTGTCATCTAATCTCCTTCAATTCTACTTTCAATGTTCAATAGGTCTATATATGGACAGAGATTATACAGATCGGAAGCGATATGGGAGGTCGGATGATTTATAGGGTAAATATTTGATTTTTAATGGTAAGAGTTAACGAGTAGTAATTTTGCAATATGGATAAAAAGTATCAAGAAATCAACTCAACCAAAAGCATTGATTGACCTTTGAAACCCTAACTTTTTTTAAAAATTAGGTAATGGTGATTCTTGAACGAACTCAACCAAAAACTAATGTTTATGTTTGTTGCCCAGAAATAATGTTGTTTTATATTCCAACAAAAAGAAAAAGAAGAAGCATACTTTGTGAAAACCTTAAGTATAATACCTCGAAATGGGGATGGGAGAAAGTGATGAAACCGAGTGGAGGGAGGCCAGCATCGCCATTAAAGGAGATGAGGGCGTCGAAAGTAACGGGTTGGTTCTTGACAGCAGCCTCGATCAAGGAAGGCACGGTGCTTGCGATTTTGTCGGCGGAGAGGTCAAGGGTTAAGTCAACGGGGGAAGATTCCATGGGTTTGATCTCGCCGTTGGTGGAGGTGGAGTCGACCAGCTCCTTGCCCTCGTAGCTCAGCTGCACTGTCACCGCCTGGTACGTGATGTCTACGTTGCTGGTGTTGTTGACGTTGAGTGTGACGCCCATGGTGATCTCCAACTTGACCGAGGGCGGGAACACCTTCACCTTGAGTTTGATGTGCTCGAGGCGGGTGCCGGCCAGCGTAACCACCGGCTGCGAAGGCCGCGCGTACCATATCAATAAACCCACAATGCCCAAGAGAATGAGGAGTATGCCGCCGAAGATGATGAGGCAGCAACCGCAGCCGCATCTCCGCTTGTTCACGCCGCCGCCGTGGCTTGTTGTCGTACTAGCTTCTTTGTTATGTTTACCGCCGCTGCTGGTAGTGGAGAAGGTGGAGTGTTTAATTTTACCCCAAAGTTCAGTTGTTTTCTCACTAATCGCATGTACTTTCTTTGGGCGCACCCATTTCCACATGTTGTGTTTTAGCGTAAGTATGTACTCTCGTGCAGGCAATGCAACTAGCTAGATGGCCTCATTTATATTGGGGTATAGGACCTTCATTCCCATTCACTCAGTCCCCGTCCAAGTCAAATTTGCACTAAACAGTATTCCGTAATAAATCATATTTCTCCATCCCATAAAAATGTTGCCATTTTGAGTATTTAAAAATTTATGGCAGTGATGATTCAGTTGATTTTTCAAAATACCTCTGATGTGATGAGTAAAAATAAGATGTGATTGGTAGATTTTTTTGTAAAAAAGTATGATATGGTTGGTATGTTAAAAAGTAGGGAAAGTAGTTTTTGGAACGGAAGGAGCATGTATTTTCCCAATGTAGTACCTAAAACCTTTTATTTCTTAGATAATACTAGAACAAAGTTCAGTAACGGGAACAATATCCAGTAATGGTGGGCATTTACTTTGAAAAATGTCGAGTAGTGGTAGACATTTACTTTGGACAATATCCAGTGACTATGGATATTTACTTAAACAATGTCCAGTGGATATTGAACGGTACTACTACATTGCAAAATTAAAACATATGATGCTACATTGGGAAATTTAGTATGTTTTAGTTCTACAAAAGATATGTTCCCCAAAAAACAAAGCCTCGACTAAAAGGGTGATTAACCTAAATAGTACTAAAACATAGTGACTTTCTTAATGTAGTACCACATGTTTTTATTTCGCAATTTAGTACCACGGATCATTGTTCACTGGTCACTATTCAAGTAAATGTCCACCGCCACTGGACATTGTTCGAAGTAAATGTCCACCATCAGTGGACATTGTTCTTGGCACTAAACATTATTCAAGTTCGATTAGAGAATAAAAAAATTTAATTACTCCCTCCGTTCTAAAAAATACTTCCTCTTTCATTTTTTCCACTTCCAACAAAACACTTCCACTTTAATTTCCATTAAAAAACCACTTTTACCCTTACTTTTTTATACCCTACCTATCACATCATACTTTTTCTCTAATAATCTATCTATCACATCTTACTTTTACCCATCACATCAGGGGCAAAATTGGAAGTCAACTATAATTTAACACTTCCTTATTTTGGCTCCAAGTCAAAGTATGAAGCCTTTTTGCAAACAGAGGGAGTACTAAATTGGGAAAAATGACATACTTCCTCCATCCTTGAAAACGTTTCTCTTTTCTTTTTTCATCGTCCCAAAAAAATATTTCTTATTTCTATTAAAAATTTACTTTTACCCCTTATTTTTTCATACCCAACATATCACATCATACCTTTTTACTAATAATCTACCAATCAAATCCTACTCTTACCCATCACATCAAAGGAATTTTTTGGAAATTCAATACCAAAACACAGTTCCTTTGAATCTCTTAAAAATAAAAAACTCCCATGTTTTTAGATCCGGAAAGAGTATGTTTTAGTACTATTTGGTATAAATTTAACTTACTAAAACTCTGTGTTCATGGCCACACTTAAACGTTTAATTTGAACTATTCTCCGTTTTTTTCCTTGAATGTGAACTATTCTCAATATATTCTTTACCGTTTGACTATTTTGTCAATTGTTATATGCTTTACCTACAAATTATAGAAGAGTTATATGCATTCTCTTCGTCTCATAATTTTTGTCTAATTTTGATTTTTAAAATCAATTCGGATCTACAATCTTTCAACTCTAATTAAATAAAAATTATATCATATATTAATTAGATAAAATAATATTTTAAAAATATCGTACAAAATTAATTTAGTATATTAATTTTATAAGATATATATTTTTATATACCGTTTATTTATTTAATACTATATTTAATTTCCTAATAGTCAAAATATGCAGCAATTTGATAAAGTCTACACACACCCTTCCTCTTTAAAAAAAACTTGACAATTTGATTTGGAGGGTCCTTGAGGTGGGGTTGGGTTGGGGGCTACAGAGGGGCTGGGGTGCGGGACTTAAGCCTCGTTCCGTTAAACTCATTTTTTCTTATTCTTATTAAAATCAGATCAGACCAGATCAGATCAGATCAGATCGAATCAGATCAGATCAGATCAGACCAGATCCAATCAGATCACATCAGAACAAATCCAATTAGATCAGACCAGATCAGATCTCATAAAGAATTATTATTATTATTATTATTATTATTATTATTATTATTATTATTATTATCATTATTATTATTATTATTATTCCTAAAAATGAAAAAGAATAAACTTTAGAAACAAGTTAAATAGAAAACTGAGAAATTAACCATTAATTATTAGATGTCGGAAAAATTATTTTTAAAATACATTGACAATGTCAATCTAATTCTACTTTTAAAATATGTTTTTATTTCTACCTATAATTTAAGTTTCTAAAGTTTTGATCTTTTATAAGGATGAGATATTTTAATAAAAATACTATCTCTTCTCTATATTGATTATATATAAATTAAATATTTATTCTAAGGTATATATGAAGTAATTATTAAAATATTAAATCAATATTCTTATTTCACAAACAATAATCATCAAATAAAAAATATTATTAAATTAAAATATGAATGATTATTCTAATATATAAATTAACTAATTTTATTTTATTAAAAAATAATTATAAAATAAAAATATTGATTATATTATAATATGAATTATCATTACAATTTTCAAACGTTACTATAACCTCAAATTAAATTATAGATTTGAATTTTAAATCAAATCATAATTAATCAGATCAGATCCAATCAGATCAGATCATACCAAATCAGAATGAATCAGATCAGATCGGATCAGATGAGATCCAATCAGATCAGATCAGATCAGATCAGACCAGATCAGATTAGAACTACAAAAAATCAGATCAGATCACAAAAAATAAGGTGAACGGAACGGAGCCTTAAGGGTTTGATTAAGGAGAAAGGAACAATCAATTTAGTGAACGGAGTACTAGAAGTGCTCCGAAATGAAAACACATGCAGTGGCAACGGTAATCACTCTGTAAGTTAGTGGCTATGGAACCACTTCGTATTTTAAATAAGGAGGCATTGTTAAATATATAAAATATATTTAATATTATTTGTATTATGATTTGTTTCCATACTTGTATAGGTTACCAAGAATGTCTCTCCTACCATAACTAGGATTGAGACCTTTATATATACATGTATTCCTCTCATAATTAATCAATGAAAATTACAATTCTTCATGGTATCGGAGCCAAACTAAAACCCTAAAATTTTCTCCCCTTGTTTCGGCCTCCCCCCTACGCCGAACCACCAGCACCGCCGTCCCCCTCCTCCTTCTCTTTCTCGGCCGGTAGCTTCCCTCCTCCCTTACAATGGCCGACAGTGAGGTCACCTCTCAATCCTCCACCCAAAAACCTCCCCATTTGGCTTTCTCTGTCTCCAACGTTAAACTCCATGTTCCAATTCAACTCAGCTTTAATTTTCTCAACCCAACTACAAAAAGTGGAGCCGCTTGTTCCTTCTTCTTGCACGGCGATTCAACCTCTAGGGTTGTCTCAACGGCTCTATTGCTCCCATATCCGACGACAATGATGAATGGTTCTAACTTGATGCCATTCTCTGTTAGAATAATAGACCAACTCTAGAGGGGGGGGGGGTGAATAGCGTTTGATCAAGAAATCGCTGGAATAAAAATGAATAAACGAGAAGTAAAGAGAAAAGAAAGAGGCACACCGATTTTACCCTGGTTCACCACAACTTGTGGCTAATCCAGCCTCCCGAGAGACTCTCTCGAGCTACACTACTATCTCGTTAAGCTTAACGGTGCTTAACAAACCCGTACAACTTGAGAATTCGAGTCACACGAACCTCAACGAACCTTCGAAGGAAACAGCCCTTCCTTCGAACAAAAAGAGAAATACCTTCTCTTGTCAAGTGTCTAAAAACACAAAAAAACACTCAAGATCGAACAATACTCTCTTTTAGAGTGGATAATGAGTAAACTAAGAACGCTCAAGAACACAACACAAGCTTCAAAAAAATGGCTATCAAAAGCTATGAATAATTGAAGAATGGTTTGCAATGAAAGAGTAGGAGTTGTGAAGTAATGTGATTGTGTAAAACAGACCCAAACACCCCATTTTATAGTAGAAAAATAGGCTCCAACGGACCAAAGTATTTAAGGAGTGATTGGCACAATTTGTGGGATTTGATAAAATTTGGATCTGCTGAAATTCAACCACACAACGCTGTCTTAGGCCTAGACATCGCTGTTCTAGGCTTACGTTTTGAAAAATGGGAAGCAACGGTCATGCCAAAAGCGATGTCTAAATTCCCTACATCGCTGTTTTGGCTGTTGACTTCCAAACAAGGAAAGTTTTAGCCTTAAATTTCTTCCAACGGTCAGGTCTCTACATCGATGTTCGGTAATAGAACATCGCTGTTTAGGTCTGCCTTTGAAGATGGAAGTTTGGCCTGACAGCGCTGTTGCTGGGTCAACATTGCTGTCCAAAAACTTTCTGCCAATGCACTATATTTTTGGCTTAGGTCGGACAGCGCTGTAGGGAAGCCTACATCGCTGTTCCAGAAGTTTCTGGAATTCCAACCTTGGCTCAACAGCGATGTCTAATGTCCAACATTGCTGTTGGAAGACTTAACGCCAAACCATGTTTTTAGCTACCCAGGCCAGACAGCGCTGTTGATTACCTCAACATCGCTGTTGGGCTGGTTTAGCCAGACCCATGGTTGGTTTAGTCACGCCGTTAGCCGATGTCAAAAATGCAAGTTCTCCGAAATAAAAACCAAGTTTAGAAAACATTTGCTTATTGCATTTTGCTAAGAAATCAAGTGAAACATCTTAAAAACCACGTCATTTAGTTGAAAACCACGGCTAGCCAAGTTCGTGTCGTTTCGCATGGTTTTCACTAAACGACCAAAAACGGAAGATTGTTTTTGAGGCGTTTTTGTTGGAGAACTATTTAAGTGTGCCCAGTAGTAAAAACCAGTCATAAAAAGTTGAAAACCACTTGGTTGGTTTGGACGCCAAAAACCAATGCCGAAAACCGAGAGCCGAACGCCGGTTTCTGAAAACCGAACGCCGGATGGCTTGGTTTTTGGTCTGGGCGAACTCCAAGTGTTTTTGGGTAGATTAAAACTTATGAAAACATTTTTGAGTTTGTAAAAAGAGTTTTGATGAAATGAGCCTAGAGAGCCAAGTTTTGAAAGTTTGTGCCGGTCTTGATCACATTAAGACCGACTCAATACAAATCTAATTCTTTGTTCTTGATTCTGCATTCTTGGTTCTCAAAACATCATGCCATGTTCCTTCGCCTTGGTTTTTGTTCTCTTTAGCCTTGTTATGTCACGGCGGTTTGGCATTATCAAAACCTGTCATAGAAACGAACACAGTTTAGTACGATGTAGGCGTAAACTTGTGTTCCAATAATTTCCCCCTTTTTGATAATGGCAAACAAGACGGGGATATGCATACTAGGGATATTTGTTTTTCAAAAGGGTTGTGAAAAAAAATTCCCCCTTTGTTTGTGCTTAAAAAAAATTTAGTTGGATTAAAATCAAACGATCTCGTTTATAGAGGCGTTCCCCCTTAGTATATGCATAGTCCTTTTCTTCCCCCTTTTGACATTAACAAAAAGATAAAAGATAATTTGATTTATTAAAGGAAATAGCGGAGTACAACGGAAGCATTAAAAAACAAGATAATTAAGGTAAAAGAGATAGAAATTCTAGGGGAGTCCTAGTTTTCGTCTTCGGTTTCCTCCTCGTCGTCGTCAACGTCCATCTCATCCCCATCGATGGCATCGTCGAACTCGTCTTCATCCGGGGAGCTTGACGGGGCGTAGGAGTCATCGGCTTCGTCTTCGTCACCGTACACTTGCCCAAGAAACGTGCCGTGGAACGGTGGGGGGACGTAGTTGATGCCTTGGAAGTACGCGTTCATGGCGTACCCTTGGCGTTGAACAGCTACGTCGAGCCATTCAAGGTAGCCTCCCATCCCGTCATTTTTGAGGTGGAGCCGGTTGAGGGAGTCGGCGATGGAGGCAAGATTGGCCCGGGCCTGGGGTTCGGCTGGGCCAGCGGCAGGGGCAGTGCGGCGTGGCTCGGCAGTGGCAGCCACGGCGTTGTCCGAACGCTTGGTGAAGGTTTGGTTGCTGATTGTCCAAAGCTTCGTGGCCTTCGTGAGCGGGCCAACGGTGGTGGTTACCTTGAACCGTTCAAGGATGCCCATCACCAAAAACGGGTACGGGAGGAGGTGATCGTGGTCGGTGGACGCGGCGATCGTCATGTTGATCATGACAAACTTTGCCCAATTGATTGGGGCCGAATGCATGATCGCATGGATGAGCTTGAGGTCTTCACCGTGCATGATGGTGTGGCCGTGCTTCCTGAGTTTGATGATCCGGGAGACGATGTAGAGGACGAGGCGGCCTTCGGGGTTAGCAGAGTGGATGGTGGGGCGGCCCGAGGCATGGAGAATGAGCTCGGTGATGCCAAGCTCGTTGAGGATGAGGCCCTCGTTGTTGAGCACCCAGTTCTCTCCGCCATAGTGAGACACATCGTCGCCTTGGAAGGGGAGGCCGGTGATGCGCCCAAGCTGCTCCACGGTGAGCTCAATCGGCGTGCTCTTGACAAGCGAGTAGAGCACGTCGTCCTCATGCCAGAGGTTGGAGTAGAAGGCCCGGATCAGCGCCGGGTTGATCTCCTTGCGCGCCCGGGAGACGAACGGCCAAAGGCCGGCTTGATGAAGCTGTGCGTCAAGGTCGCCGTAGCCCTGCAGCTCCGGGTAGCGCTCCGGGATGATCCGTGGGGGAGCCACAACCCGTTTAGAGAAAAAGGTGAGGAAACGGGTGCGCTCCTCCTCGGAGTCAAACCAAAGGTATGACTCGTCGCCATAGTAGAGGCGCTCCTCGGAGGATGACGTAGGCGCCCGGGATTTGGACTTTGATTTCCCGGAAGTGCCTGCCCTGCTCTTGTCTTTGCCCATAGTGAAGAAATCTCAAAAAAATTAGAGTAGAGAGGATGAAATATGTGAGAATATTGAAGGAATATGTGTTTGTGTGTGTAAAAGTGAAGAGAGGGGGTCCCAATTTATAGAAAAGGTGGTCTCCAATGTCCAGATTTTCAAAAATATGGCTGTTGGAAAAATTAATGCTGCTGCCAACGGATATTTTTTTTTGAAAAAATTGACCTGAACAGCGATGTTCTATAGGCGACATCGCTGTTGAGACAGCGCTGGTGGAATGCTGAACAGCGCTGTTGTGCGTTAAGTTTTAAAAAATAAGTGTCAAAGGGACAACGATGTTGAATCCCCTACAGCGATGTTCCAAAAGTTTCTTGAATTGTGTAAGGGTTTGAACCCATTAGAACAGCGCTGTTGGGTTTCTCTACATCGCTGTTTTGCGATAGAGGAAAAAATTTGTAAAAGTGGACATCGATGTTGAAGGTAAGACATCGCTGTTAAAAAAGTTTCTGGTTTTGGTTGGAAACAAGGTGTTTTGGGTAGACAACGATGTTTAGAAGGGAACATCGATGTTCAAAAAGTTTCTGGAAAGTGAAGATTTAAGGGACTCCTTGGGACAGCGCTGTTGGTTTGTCGTACAGCGCTGTTGGAAAACTTTCTGGATGACGGTGTTTCTCTCAATAGCGCTGTTGTGTCTCCTAGACAGCGCTGTTAGCATGGTTCCCCCTGACTTCATTGATGGGGTACCTGCAAAAAAGAAAAAGTTCTTCGACACTCAAATTAGTAAACGTTTAATAAATTTAGATGTACAACTTAGATCATCGTGGAGTCAATGATTCCGAGTTTACTTCGAATGCGGAAGAACGACTCTTTCTCTAAAGGTTTTGTGAAAATGTCGGCTAATTGGTTGTGTGTTTCAACAAACTCAATTTCGACATCACCTTTGAGAACATGATCTCTAATGAAATGATGCCTAATGTCAATGTGTTTCGTCCTTGAGTGAAGAACGGGGTTCTTCGTCAAGCTTATGGCGCTAGTATTATCACAACGGAGAGGAACGTGATTGATACTAAGGCCATAGTCCACGAGTTGTTGCTTCATCCAAAGAATTTGAGCACAACAACTACCGGCGGCTACATACTCCGCTTCGGTTGTGGATAACGCAACACTGACTTGTTTCTTACTAAACCATGTGACTAGGGAGCTACCAAGTAAGTGGCAAGTCCCACTCGTACTTTTA